CACCGCCTCCGCGACTGCGGGCAAGATGATGTTGAAGTGCTCCCCGTTTGCGATGTCGATCGGCACGGCGATGGTGAGCCCTGCGAGCGCCGCCGCAGCAGAGAGTCGCATGCGCCCGGCGAAGATCTCCAGGAATGCCTCACCCCGTCGCATCAAGCCCGGAAGAGCGCGGACCTCTGGCCTGGGCGCCCGCGCAGGTCGGAGCGGGCGCTCCGGCCGAGGGTCCCGCTTGGCGGCGCCGAAGGCGGCGCCCGCGGCTGAGAGGCCCTCGGCGCCCGCCTCCGCCACCTCGGCCGTCGGCGTCGCGGCCGTGGCTCCAGCGGGGGGAGGCGCGGCGCCGCCCTCGGCGGCAGGCCGCAGGCGGAGGCGGCCTTCGTCAAGGCCCTCCGCGCCTCGGCCTCGGCGGACCTCGCCTGGCCAGAGGTGCGGCAGCCGCGAGCCGTAGTCACTGGGATTGCGCTCTGTCTCGATGTGCCTGCGGGCGCAGCGGGCGTTCGCGGCTGCCTGCAGAGCGGCGGCTCTCCGGGCGAGGGCCATCAGCTCCCGGGAGCGAGCCCGCCCGCGGTCCATGGCCAAGACCTCGGACATATTGTCCCCGAGTGAGAGCAGCACGCGAGAGTGGTTGGCAGGATCTTTGCAGAAATCCTCGAAGCCCATGAGAGCTGCTCGGGCCTCGAGGTTGTGGATCTTGTAAGGCTTCCCCCAGGCCCCCGCCGCGGCGGCCCGCCGGCGGCCAGGCTCCCCCCAGCTAGGCTCCAGCCGGGGAACGCGGCCGACGACCTCCACGAGTTGGGGCTCGACCATGGCGAGCGCGGCGGGTCCCGACGGCTGCGGGTCGGCCAGGGGGTGGTCCTGCGCATAGGCTGTGGAGGCGCCGGTGAGCACCGCACCCTCGGCTCCTGGCGCCAGGGCGTCTCGCAGATTGTCTCGTCGATCATCAGGTGGCGGTGAAGGATCAGCCTCCTTGAACCTCCACCTCTCATGGTATTGAGCGGCGGCCCAGGCCTCTCGCGGGTCGGTGTCCGTGATGTGGAGCGCGAAGCCCCGCGTGCTGGAGTCCGAGCAGTGCGCCACCGTGACGATGCCTCTCCCGAGCTCCGACACCGCCAGCGCCAGCAGGCCCTGTGCCACCCGCAGCTCCACGGCCGCGGCGTTGTCCAGCGCGCGCGGCGGCCCCAGCCCGTCGCCCACGAACTGGTAGACCGAGCGCAGGCAGCTGAGGAGCTCCCTCCTGGCGCTGAAATGGTCCACCAGGTGGCCGATGATTCGGCTTAGCTGGGCGGGCGAGATGTGCCGAACCTGGCGGACCTCGTCGAGGGCCAGCCGCAGCCGCCACATCCGCCGCGGCCTCGGGATGAGGCAGCGCCGCCGCCCGCGGATCTGCCGTCCGACGAGCTCGTAGTCCGAGGCGGGCTCCGCTTCTTCGTGGATCAGGAAGCCGATGGAGGTGAGCTCCTCGCGCAGCGCGTGGAAGAGCCTGAGCGCGGCCTCGGGGCTGCCGCCGATGATGTTGCCGTTGTCGACGTAGGGGGCGACGATGGCGGCGGTCCTGCCGAACGGCGGCGGAGGCCCCCAGTCCTTGAGAGTGACTTCGGGGAGCCCCAGCCGCCGCAAAGCTCGGCGCGACGCCGCCCCCAGGCTGCCGTGACAGGAAAAAACATCGCCCAGCTCCAACCCATCGGCAAGCGTCCAAAACGCGCCCAGAGGAGCTCCTGACCCTCCACGGGGACGACGGTGAGCTGATCGTCGTCGTAAACCTCAGCGACGCCGATGTCCGAGGCAGCCGACGACGCGCCCAACGAGAACCACGACGCGACGCTGTCCGCGGCGGAACTGGTAGAAGCCATCCTTGAGGTCCATGCCCGCGCACGAGAGGTCGAGCACGTCGATGCCCTTTGCGCCTCGGCCGCGCGCGGGAAGGCCCCCCGCCGACAGTCGGCGCCACTCCTCCGACAGCGCGAGGTTGGGAGCGCGCACCCGGCGTGGCGAGGTCGGACTTCGGTGGCCGCCTGTGGAACTGGTTGGTCGGCCTGCAGTCCAGCGCGAGCCGGATCGCATCGCCCTTCTTCTTGACGAAGAATGCTCCGACCCGGCAGCGCTCCCGTCTCCTCCACGAGACGAGGCCCACTCGATCGAGACGGCGCACAAAGTCCCGGCGCGCCTCCAGCGAGCCGCCGAGCTTGGGGTCCCAGTGCGGCACCACGGGGTCCACGACCGAGGCCAGCTCCTCCGGCGGCAGCACGATGAAGGAGTCGGAGTCCTCGAAGTGCGGACGGTGCTCGTCGCCCGCCAGGTCCAGGGCATTAACGGGAACGCCAGACCGATGCAGGACCGCCAGCTTGCTCGGGTCGTACGCCGCCACAGAACTATCGTCGTCCACGTCGTAAATTGACTTGCACTTGATGATCTCCTGAAGAGCCCCCTCCGGAAACTCGGCGTTGAAGTCCGGCGGGGGGAGGAAGTGCGCCACTGCGCGTCCGATGCTGTTGAGCATCCCGTC